ACAGCCTGATCAATAGTGGAGGGTTTCGCTCGATTACCCGGAGGCGTGTGGCAGAGTCAATGCCTTGGATGAAATGCTGCAAGGTGACACCTTGGATGGCAGCTTCATTGTATGTGCGATGAGCCCGCCGGACCAGATGTTTGAGTTCTGAGGCAAAGACGATGAGTGACTCACCTGGCTGGCGTTTCCTTTGAGCCAGTGATTGTTGGAAACTGAAGATGTACTTGTCCTGGGAAAACGCATGCGACAATGCCTGGCAGAGGTGCTGGTAGTCGTGTTTGGTTTCCTGGGGGAGGCTCTGGAAGTAGGTGAGAGCGGGTCCATCCAAGAAAGTCGGTAGAGCCCGGGTTCGAACGGTCGCATCATACAGGTGAGCATCGGCATATACCTCGAATTTGGTCAGCCAAACTGGGAAGTCCTCGTCGCCATTGCCAAGGAAGGCGGCTGGGAGGGGCGTTTTGAGGTGTGGTGGAGACGAGGGACTAGGCACAGCAGGTGGTTGGTACCAGGTGACAGGCAAGCCTGCAGCTGGATCGGTAGGTGCATAGTACCGGTAGCTTGGAGGCTGGCCAGGTAGAGTGGGCCGAGTGGTCTGGGGGGGCTGAGGGTGCCTGGGTGGGTGGGTGGTAGACCCATACCGGAGTGCCGGCCTGGGAGGGTGAGTGTTAGCCCCAGGCTGGAGTGAAGGGCGGGCTGTGGCCTGAGATGTGTATACGGTAGTTGTAACAGCTGTACCAGGAGGTGGTGGTTGACGGTCGATTTGCGATACCGGCCTGGGAGGGTGAGTGTTAGCCCCAGGCTGGAGTGAAGGGTGGGCTGTGGCCTGAGATGTGTATATGGTAGGTGTAACAGACGTACCGGGAGGTGGTGGTTGCGACGGTACAGCTGGAGGGAATGAAGCTGGACTGGGAAACCTCGGTGGGAGACCCGTCTGTGTGGGCGACGCCATTACGTTCGAGGGGGTGCGAGCCACAGGGTTGTAGTTAAATGAAATGTCCTCGTCGATAACGACAACAGAATCACTAGCGGTAGCCATATAGTGACGGGCAGTTCCAAATTCTCAACAGTTCAGTGCGAGCCTAAAGCCTACCTTGACAGAAAAGATAGCGGAGCGGTCCGGGAAGTTGAAGGTAGATGCACATGGGCCAGAGGGGGAGGGGGGCGAGTACCGCCGGGGCGGCGAACGCAGCGATCCACCGGTTGTTGACGAATAAAGTCCGGTGGTTAGGGACGGCGAAGAGTCCGAACACCGCTGCCACCAGTGTAACGATCCAATCCCAGGGTTTATGGAATGAGCAGAAGAGACGAGTGGAGTACTGTGGATCTGTATGTATTCTTCAGAACATGTGGGTAACTCTAACTCAACTGGATATAACTGGTTCCTAGTGGACTTGCCTACTCGCCACCGGGGGTGGCAGGTTATACCATTCCCATAGGGGGGACTCTATGGTTCAGCATATTAGATCCTTACACTAGCATGTCCAGATTGCGAGATATCAAAACAAGAAGTTCTGCTGCAGTACCAACAAAAGCCACCAGGGGGCCCAAAATCTAATCATTTCTAGGTGTCATCAAAACCTACCCACCTACCAAGTTTCATGAAAACGCCTATAAAAAGCTTCTTGAGTTATGCTATTCACAGACAGACAAACAAACAGACAAATGGAGAGATGGACAAACGCTACTGAAAACATAACCTTCTTGGCGAAGGTAATTATAGTATTATACATTATACAGTATTATACATACATTATGTCATGTACACGACATGTACATATCGGGTACATTTTATTTCATGGCACAACTTGCGCTCTGGAGTGTCACGTTACAACTTTAACACCAGGCTAATTACCGATCAATAATGCCTACAAAAGAATCAATATGTCCAGTCACCTTCTGTTGACCCTGAAGGATACTTGATACCCTCTGCAGTTATATCAGGAAATCTTCCAAGAATTCTTAAGTCTACCCTGTGGGCCTGCCTCTTTTTCTGATCAGATAAGAAAAGAATGAAAGATCCGAGAAGACCAGAGGCCCTTATTGTGTGAAGAAGTAGCTTTGAGAACAAACAGCCCTTTGTTTTAGAGCTGATCAACCTGGCGATGACTTTGTTGTGGATGTGAAGTGTTGTTTGCTGACGGGTCAGGGGTTAAGACGGCTGCTACTTGAAATGTAGTGGGGTCTTTGTGATACAGTCAACCTGTAATTATGCTGGAGTACCTGGGCCTGTAAGAGGGCCTGTATTCCCTTTTTCGTAAGGCATAATCAGGCCTTTTTAGACTTTGTAATTTGTAGGCAAGGCAGCCTCCGCAAAAATCAACGTAATTCGTAATAGGACATTAGCCACAAATCGTAAAGTCGTAATTAACTCTGACATGTTAACGTAATTCGTAATCGGCGGCGAAAATTTTGTGTAATTTGTAATCACCCCCCCCCCCCATGCAGGCCAGTCTTGTAAGTGTTCTAGCTAGCATCTGTCTTTCCATCATTTGATGGAATTTTGCTGCTTGTGATGGACATTTTTTTAACTTTTGGCCAATCCGTCATCTTTGATGAAGAAAAATTGGTGTTTACAGATATGGAAAGAGATGCCATTCAACTACGATTAGTCTACCAGCAAAATTTGCCTCTCACACAGGAAATAGCATTTTAGAGGATCAAGATTTTGTCCTGGTTTAGGTTGGATTGCCATCGTCTTATAATTAGGTTTAGTTCACTATGCACTGAGTACTATGCACATTAAAATTCAATAGACATAATGCAGAACATACTGACCCATCCAGAGCCATGTCCAGCAATTTCTTGATACCACAGTTTTCAAACATCTGGTATTGTGTTGTCTCCGCACCAAAAACACCATCAAACGTGAACTGTTTGGGACGCCCTCCTGAGGTACTGGTGTCCACCTGAGTACAGAGATGAAAACACATTTATTTAGTCCTAGGCTTAAAGGGCTATTATGTAACATTCTTGCCAAAAACTTGACTTCTTTTATTTTAATAATATTTGTGTGATATTGACCCAGGCAGTTCCATTTTTCAACAGATTTACAATTATCTCACATTTCTGATATTTATGGTTGGCGCTAAAACAGCCCACACGAGGTGCACTCAGTTTCTGGTGCCACCATAAATTGCCAGAATGTACACAAACATAGCTGACAACTGCATTTCAAGGCTTCTGAACACATTCGTATATAAGGCATCATATTTTGCACCAACACTTCAAATGACACTCATTTTCAATGGAAAAGGGTTAATTCACAAATTTGTAACAAAAATTAAGTTAATGTGGTGCTGATGAATGCATAATTTCTGTCAACACGGAATGTGACGATATTGATATGATTATGTCTAATAAAAAAATTGTCCTTTTTCGTGACATACACATATTGGTCAATGAATAAATCATTTTCTACAAGACACAAACATGTATAAATACATGAAATCTAAATTATTCACAAGAAGTGACCACAAGGAACAAGCTGGACACAAACCAGAAAGGTCGTTGCTACAATATGCGTGCAAAGAACGTAAGCCATACTTATTAATCATTTAAAAAAATCACATCTTCGGGAACTTTATTAAATAGCTGTGTCACAGATTTCATATGATTCAGAAGCACTCCTAGCTTTATTATCGCAACAGTATGAAAGTGCCAGCCTGACAGTACAGAATTTGAAGCATGTAGGACATTAAGAAAATTATTTAAGTTATTAGGACAATACTAGTACATGTACTAGTAATCATTCTGTCTTAATGACAAACAAAATTTTGAGCACATGTAGGTGCATCAGGGACTCCATACTGAAAGGCATTGCTGTTTTAAGAATGTAACCGCTCAGATTGTCTGCATTTTTCAAGATTTTTCAGGGTCTACTTTGTGGAAATGTATTGTTGGAGGGAAAACAGAATAATTTTTCTAAAAGATACGTAGAAAAAGTCCTTCAAGCCTTGTGAGCACATTATGGTTAATGGCCTACCCTGCCCTGGCCAGTCATAAAATAGATTCTATGTGACTACCAGTCTGCACATAGCTTTGTACATTACACATTGAACAGTCACTTCTCCCTACATTTCATATGGCAAATTTACCTTTCAAGATCTTTATTACATAATTCTCTTCATCTGACAAAAACATCGAAGACTTCATGTCAACAATCGGAATCAAATGTTCAAAGAAATATATCACTGGTCCAACCAACAGTAAAGAAATTTTTGGAACCTACCCATAATGCACCTTGCCCTGGACATTGTGTGATGACCTTGTCTTTCCGGTTGGTCTCCAGGTCATTTGGAGGTCGTATTCTGGAACAGCAAAGAGAAGAGATTTTCTTCTTGTTCACAAAAGATTTTATAAATAAATAGTAATGCAATCTATATTATGTTATTGTATTTTAATGGGGGTGAGATTTTTATCTACTTACAAGACAGGGCTCGAAATACTGGGTGCATGTGCACCTTAGTGCACCCAAATTCGGAGCTGTGCACTCAAGTTTTTTCTGTGGGTGCACTGGTGCACCCAAATATTTTCGTAGGTTTATGTATGTAAAGATGTTAAATGTATACTAGTACAAAGCATATTCTTAACATCTAAGTGTCAGAAAAATAATAAAATCATAAATGAAACGGAATTAGTTATTGCTGACATTCTAGTAATCTATTTTATATAGTGCGCCCACACTTTTTTTTGTGCACCCAATTTTTTAGGTTGGGTGCACCTATTCCCTAAAATGAATTTCGCGCCCTGCAAGAATTTGTGATTTCTAGTACAAAATCTCTGCTTGTCACTATTGGGATGAAAAGATTTTAGGTTATACTTCAGCGCTAAAAGTAATATCAACTTTGTAAATATAAAATTTTAACAATTTCTACACATTTCTACATGAACATCAAAATAATACACTGGGGTACTTAGTAGTCGATTTACATGCAATAATACAATCATACATGTATTATATATAAGATGACATGTTAATCATGATGTACAAATTCATCTTCCAATCTTTCCCTGTGGAAGTGTTAACAGTATTTGACACATGAGATTGATGATTATGTTTATCTTAATCTTTAGCTGGGTTAACTAAGGACAGGGGTGTGTCTGTGACTCAGGTTTCCTTGGAGACAAGTAAACACAAAGTAGTCCCCAGGGAGAAAAAGGACCAAATCACTTCTTTTCATGTCAATTGGTGCTTAGGCCATGTTGATTTGATTATATGGATGACATCCTCTGGGAACCCCAAAACTGATGCGAGCGTGAGAATAAAACAAAGATTGGCAAAAAAAAAGCTGCCTTCATGCATGATTTTAAAATCTATGTGGTCATGAAGGTTGAACAAATAACATTAACAAACACAGAATAAGGTATGGCGAATAATAGACTTTCTTCATTTTCATTTCTTCACATTCTCTTCTTTTACTTTGGAATTGACTTAGTTTGGCATTCTACAACATAAGTTACAATATTTTTTCTTATCTATGGCATATATTTGCTCATTTTGCAGCTGCTTTGTACAACTTACACATGGTCAAAAACTTTTTTTTTCAAATGCATGAAAATTCCTGCACATGCAGATGTCATCCACATACACATGTACTAGTAATCAAATCAATATGGCCATAAACATAAAAAATCTGTTATGTAATATTATTATCAGAGTTGAATGTGCTCAACACAACAACTTTCACATAATAGAGAAACTAAAGAGAAATATTATGAAATCAATATTGACTGTTTAAGATCATGGCTATTACCACTTAGGAGAAAGAGAAACACAAAAAGAACACTAAAATTTTGAGAGTCTGTGCCTATACGATATACAGAACAAATAGGACATACCAGCAACTAGCCAGCTGGTACTCTGACAATAACATTTAAAACCCTCTTGCAGGGAGGAAATCCAAAATATATTTGCCATTGGGATTTCCTCCTTTTCCTTCCTTTAATCTGGAGTGTACAGCAGGTTGTGTTGACACTGCCATCCGCCATGACATGTTCTAAGGCCTCAGAGTCAACATGGCCCGGCTCAACCCCCTATTGATTGTCAATGGGCCATGCCAATGTTGTCCCTCCCTGCAAATGTTGCCACTGTTGTTTATCTTGGTCGACAGTTGGTTTATTTAGAAAGCTTTGTTGAATCCTTCAGGGCTTCTGTGCATTACTACTGCAGTGCACTAGTGACTTCAACACATTGCCCAAGCATTTCTACTAAGAATGTGTAGAAATGTATGTAACGAACTTGCAACTAAGTTTAACATAGTTCAACAAATTTGATCAAACTGTTTGATTAAAATGTTTGACAATGAATTTGATCATAAAGGGTAAAATCTATGTGCTGTACTATTCACTTTATGTTCATGGTAGCAAAAGTTTGCAGTCAGAGAAAAATGGACAATGACAATAACCCAACTACATGTATCTATTCTAGGTGGTAGCAGGTGCAGAAAAAAGAAAGTCGGTAAATTATTTAATGTGTGTTCATGGTAATGAGTTCACAGTACAGAACTGTGAAAATCACTGACGTAAAAGTACCAAGAAAAAATTGTGAGTTACGGTACCTCCTACATTATACATGTACTTTACTCTTTGACAATACTTTAGACAACCATATTACGATGATCTAATCTTGTTGCTGATAGCGCTGTGGTATCTAGAATGTAAGATCTGAGTTGTGGGACAAGATAGGACCATGGATCAGTGTCCCATGCTCTGATTATCAGTTAGGTCACACAACACAATAGGAATCACCTCGTGTGTCTTATCTCTGGGTGGTTTCCTTTGTTTTCAGTAATACTACCTTACAGTGACACCAGGTGAGTTGTTGGTCATCTACTTTGAAGTTAGTGGTACCCAGGGACCAGTTCGAAACAGCAACATTAAACTAAACAGATAATATTTTGTTTGATTTTAGATGTATGTTTGTAACCTCAGCATTGTCATCTTTCTATTTTGTTTAAGAAGACACATGACAATGATAGAGAGATCCACTGAAGACACCCTTTGATCATATCTTAGATAATTAGTGTGTAGATTACATCTTTTTGAAGAAACTTCGATGCTGCTTGGCCCTGTAATTCCCAGACCAGCTGGCGGCATTCCAAAAACAAATCCTGAGAAAACCTGGTGCAGGAGGTTTAGAGGTGAACAATGATGATTTTGTGTAATTTGTCAGGGCTTATCTGGTCACAAAGCATGCCCCGCTGTCTTCTATTGTAAATCCCTTTCTCCTGCAGGGACCTATATATATAGCCTGGGTGCCATCCTAATTTACTTGTTATCTACTGTCAGGGCTCAAAATACTGGGTACATACGTGTTATGTACCTTAGTGCAGGCAAAATTGAGGCTGTGCAGGTTTTTAAATTAATTTCTGATGTCTGCCTGTACATAACCTGCACTAGTACTGGTCCATGTACTGGGTATATGCAGGTTAGTGCAGGTAAAATTGGAGCTGTGCAGGTATTTCTGATGTCTACCTGCACCTAACCTGCACTGGTCCATGTACTAACTGGGTATATGCAGGTTAGTGCAGGTAAAATTGGAGCTGTTCAGGTATTTCTGATGTCTACCTGTACCTAACCTGTACTGGTTCAATTATTGTACTGGGTATATACAGGTTAGTGCAGGTAGACATTGGAGCTGTGCAGGTATTTCTGATGTCTACCTGCACCTAACCTGCACTGTTCCTGTTTATGTGTACATATCACCAAACTCACAGGGATGTCTACTTTCCCAATTACCTATAATTAGTATAAATACCAGCATCTTCAATCATATAAGATTTAGTCTTTGAAAAAAATCCTCTCAAAAAGTCTTAGAATCGTAGTTGCTAAATAAAAATCAATGTTTTCTATGTTTGGAAAGTGAAGAAAAGGCTTCTATGACTGCAAACTGAAAAGACGTCCCAAACCCAGAGGTGTACAAATTACTACAATTAGGTGTCCAAAATACCCCTTATCTCTTTCCACTTCACTAACTATCATCACTGCTGTGTGGAAGTCCTTTGTGATGTGGACTATTATTACACACCAGGTATAACTACAGGTAAAAGGGCTAATTGCACAGGTATGCAGGAAAGCTTGGCCTGTATTGTCATTTGCCTAATAGAGAAGACACAGAAAGACAGTGTTTAAGCCCTGAGTGCCAACCAGAATGGGTCATGGGTTCAGGCACTAAAAAAGAAAACTTGCACTAGTTTCAGTTGGTACTAAAATTGAAAAAGAAAGCAAAAGATAGCTTCAAAATGATGTATAATGTATAATTTTGATATTATTTTGTATCATACTTTAAAAAACAATTTAACCTTATATATGGCCTCCAAAAATATCATATCCCTCTCTAATCTCCAATCCAAATGAAAACAATATATTAACTGACTTGTAATGTGTACACATTAGAAGAGTTATGTCTTGTTTTCATCTGATATGAACATATTATTTTCATGTCATAACTCAGTATTATCCAGCCTAGCAACAGAAGACAGAAGACTACACATATATCATACACAATTGAGGTTGCGTGCGTTGGTTCCCACTCAAAACACACGGCAAGCTATCTCCAGTCCTATTGTGATTGCCTTGTGACCCCGTCTCTTCTAATTACCAACTTGGCGAGTCAATACAGGCTTCAACATTTCCTGCGCATTAAAAATTCATGGGTGATCTTTGTGCAAGTGTCGGATCCAATAACCACCCTGCTGATCCTTACAGCAACCAGGCTTAAAGTCCTATAAATATGAGTTAATCGAAGCTTTGGAATTTATGATGGTTTAATCTGAATTTTGACAATATTAAACTGCAGTGCTTGAATCCTTTTTTCTGCATAACTGCACTGGTGTAGGTAACATTAATTTGGGCTAAAAATTACCTACACTGTAGCTGTACTTGGCAAATTTTATCTACTTAAGTACACCACTCAGGATTTAGAAAACTTAATAAAGGATCACACTAAAACTATTCAGAAACCAATTCCATTATTTCTTTTATATTATAGTTTATAGTATTATACTTAATATGTCGTGACAGTCATTAATTTGTTTCAACTATATTGCTCTCAACATGATATTATTGACTATAAACAACTTGACAAGACTACATACACAATAAAGATTATCTGGTATTTAATAATCAATTTCTCTCATATCTTGACCTTTACATCGCACCACATTGTTAAGTGTTTCTATCATCACAAGAATTCAGCTGTACATATGAATAATACAGCATAGGAGACCCCATTGTTGGTAGAATGTGTCATTGACGCAAAGTCAGACCCAGCCGGCGCCATTTTGCACAGCACAAAAATGGTCTTGCT